AAAAAAAAAGAGAGAATAAAATCTACCTAAAAAAGAAAGCTAAGAGCACTTTAATGATCTTACATACATGTTGAAGATCTAAACTATTACTTGTCCGTTTGTTTAGCCAGTCTCAAACAGGCTTGCAGAAAAAACTTTACTGGATTCAGTAGACACTAATAGCATGCAATTTTCAAAATTTGGGTGAGCCCAAATTGAAATGTGCTGTAAATGTCAAAAATTAAATACAAAAAAAAAACAGTTATCAAAATATTTATCATATTAGCATTTTAGATTCATTAGGGTAAATAGGATAATATTCAATTAACTTCACCATTTCCTTTTGCTATTTTTAACATGCTGCTATGAATTTTTTAGCTACTGTATGACTCACCTTTGTGATATACAATATATTTCTACTGAGAAGAGTTGCTCAAGATAGTACCGGGACCAGCAGTTAGCATAATGGCTATGTCGCTGGACTCCCACGTAGTTGACTGTGGTTCGAGTCCTGGACCCAGTGGCTAAAACTCACGCTGGGCGCGTGTCCGAGCGTGCCCAAGATCCCGAGAGGAGAATGGAGGAGAAGGGATTGCGGTGTGGTCATCCCCCCGGGGGGTGATTTCCTGCTTTCTGTCTCTCTGTCTCTGTCTGTCTGTCTGGTGAGCGTATGCGCCCTATAGCAAAAATCTCTCTCTCAAAAAAGAAAAAGATAGTATCTATCATTTGTACTCAGTATCTATTATTTTGTCTCCTTATTCCAATATACTGAATACACTAATACCCCCTACTCCAATACACACAGGCACTCATATTATATTCTCTTGAATTTCTTCTTTACTTTTCTTCAGAGAAACAAATCAAGGAATCAAATATTTTCTGCACCGTAAGAATTTACAGAAAAAAAAGAATGAAAGTATAACAGTGTTCTGAGTTTCTGCTGTGAGTTTTTACTAACCACAGAACTCAGAAAACTTTAACCTCTTCCAATTTCAATCTTAGTAACATAAAAAAAATTGATAAAAGAATTTACTCAGAAAATTTATGTAAGTTTACTAAAATACTTATCACATAATAAAAACATGGCTACTGTTTCTCAAGCTCTGTAAGAAGAATCAACTTAAAACTTAATAAGATTTTTTTCTAGTTTTTTTTTTCTTTTATCTTTTCCTTTTTAAGACAAATTTGTGCTCACAAGAGAGACAAAGATAGACAGAGACAGAAAGTGAGAAATAACCCCCAGCAGGAAGACCGCACAGCATTCCCTACTCCTCCATTCTCCTTAGAGATCTTGGGCATGCAAGCACATGCACCCAGCATAAGTTTGAAGCCACTGAGTAGTATAATGAGACAATGTCCAAAGTAGTAAGAAATGGAGCCAGCAGGTGATATGGTTAAAGCACTGTACTCCTACATGGTGAAACATGGTTTGAGTACTGGACCCTAGTAGCTTGCTTTCTCACCTTCTTTCTCTCTCCCTTTCCCTATCTCTGGTCAAATATAAACTAATGATAATAAATAAAAGTAAATAAATAGAGGCCAGCAGGTGGTGTGGTGGATAAGGGCGCTGGATTCCCACATGGCTAACCATGGTTCAAGTCCTGGACCTAGTGGCTTGCTTTCTCACTTTCCCCTTCTTTTTCTTTCTCTCTCTCTCTCTCTCCTCAAATAAAGAAAAAATTAAGAATAACAAATGGAAATAAATAATTATTTTTTAAAAAGTAAATAATTCTTTTTTTTTGAGAGTTTGTTTTTTTTTTTTTTTTTTTTTTTTTTTTTATGG